AGGCCCAGCACCTGCAGCCACTTCGGGGGACGCTCTTCCTCCAGCAGCTGCTCTCCACGGGAGCCCAAGCCGTGCCCGTCAGCGGGACAGGGAGCCCCCGAGGGACTCCAGACGGCCCACCCAGGCTAAGTGCATGGTGACTTTGTGGAACCTGGTTCTTGAGGAACAGCTGTGCTGACAGAGTCAGTAGCATTGAAGCGACCCCCCGCAACCAAATGCCTGAAACAACAAGAGCTTCCGGAGAGCCAAGTCTGTCTTCATGTCCTTGGGGAACCTTCATTTCTGGCACGTGTTTTCAGGTGTGAGGGCCAGGTGACTATTCTGCCAATGCCGCAGAGAACAGGCAGGGCCAGAGAGCAAGGCAGCGGCCCCCAGCACTCATGTCCCCAACCTGCTCTGCCGCTCTCTGCGCTTCTTGATTGTGTGGCCGAAAGGGAGTCTCAGCTTCTGGGCTACAGCAGCAAAGCAGGCAACCCTCCTTGGAGAGCCAGGAGGGAGCAGAAGGGGCTGACCCTGCCACCCCGGCTGCCTTCTCACCTCCAATGACCACCCCCCAATGCCCAAAAACAAACCAAACTCTAGGGAACTTGGGATGTCAGTGTCTCCAGATACCTGAGGGTTTATTGCAGTGGCCTTTTTTTTTTTCTTTTTGGGTCACACCCGGCAATGCACAGGGGTTACTCCTGGCTCTGCACTCAGAGGAGTTACTCCTGGTGGTGCTCAGGGGACTATATGGGATGCTGGGAATTGAACCCAGGTTGGTAAGGCAAAAGCCCTATCCGCTGTGCTATCTCTCCAGCCCATCGCAGTGCCCTTTGCTTTACAGGGTCCCGAGAAATCCAAACTTCTGTGGAAAAAAGGGAAATGTCCAACACAGGAATAAGCTATTGGTGGCATGGATAATCTGTGACACACACATTCCTTCCAGAATGTTAGCTATTCACCCTCGCTGTGTGGACCAGTGTTTCTGCCTTGCTGGTAACATGAAGGGCAGCAGAAGTGAGCTGGGCTGCTCTGGCCCTTCCACACCCTCTGTGCAGAATTATCACCTGCAGCTGCCCCTCTTGGGAGGGCTAATGCTTTTAAACGGGGTCAAGGTGAAAGGCCACAAGGATTCCTTATCCTCTGGTTTGTGATGAACAAGTCTTCTCCATATTTACTCTCTGAAAAGGAGACCTTTGGAATAAGCCCGAGGAAAAAGGACGCCAGGCATCCTAGACAGGAGGGATTCAACTAGTGTCCAACACGGGGGCAGGACCCGCCCTGGGGAAGGGGTCACACGTGCTGGACTGGGGTTCAGGTGCAGCTGATTGACACTGAATGGGTGAGCTGCTCCAAACAGTGCTGGGCAAGTGACAGGCAGAGGAACTCCAATGGCCCCGCTACTTCCCTCTATCCCAGTCATCCCAAGGCTTTCTGGAGGTGCCTCTTTTGAGCCTAGAGATGGAAAACAAAAAGAAGCAACACTCACAGATAATGCTCTGGTCCAGGCAGACACAGTGGGGCAGAGCTGGTGATGACGGCCACTGAGCCTCTGGAAAGTCTGTTTCTCTTCTCCGACACAAGTCAGACTGCACCCTTTGGCCCAGCACGTTGCAGAGAGCAAAGCAGATTTCTGCTGCCACAGAAGCATGTGAAAGCAAAGCCAGCGACACCGTCTTTCACCAAATGCCTGTGCTGGAGCCCGTGACCCCTCTCCTCGTAGACTTCCTCACTGGAGTCATTTCAGGGCAAGCCAGCAAGGAATATGCAGGCAGAGCCCAAAATAGGCAAAAGGAACTAAGTTTTGCAAGCGAACGGCAACTGTAGAGTGAGTTTTCTAGACAACGAGGAGGGCCTAAGGGAGAAGATCCGCACATGTGTGGAGTTAAACCCTTTGCACTAACCCAGGGTTCGCCCAGTTTCCACTCTCACTGCAGCAGACGAATGCTTAAAGGTCTGGCTCAACAATTCCAGTGTGTGTATATATATGATGTGGGAGGAAGAGGGGGTCTCATGTGGAAAAACAGTTCTTGGACAACAGCTGGCATCCTGCAATTTAACTCAGTCCTAACACTACCTGGAGATAGCATCATATATCAGTGGGCCCAGTTCTACATCTCCTGAGCCTCTACTTGTGCCCCAGCCTTCCAGGTGAGATTAATCTCCAGGCTGACATCTTTGCTTTGGGGCCATTTTGGAACTGAGGTGAAATCTTCTCAATTGAATCTTACACTGCTCACAGTTACTCTTCCTATTACTAGGTGAAGGCCAGCAGGGAAGGAAAAGGGCAACTCCCAGCCTAATCTCCCAAAGACTCCCAAAAGGAATAACTATAAAGATTCACCCTCAGTACAGCTAACCCATGGGGAAGGCAGAAGAAACCCACCAAGCTCAGTGGGTGAAACCAACAACATGGAAGCTCAAACAGAACCAACCAGCTCTGTAAAATCCCAGAGAGTGACATGTGTGACATGATGGAAGGGATGCTTAATGAGCTCAAAGAAATGATGGCACTGGTGGTCGGCACAGCACAGGAAAGTATGAGAGCCGACATGAGAAAACTACAATCAGAAATGAAGAGTATGGTGGGTGATTTAAAAAAAGAAAAACAAAACAAAACAAAACACCTCAACTGGAGGTCTGAGCAGCAGGATAACAGAAGCTGAGGAAAAATCCAGGGAGTGCGAAGATGAGATGTCTAGGAAAACAGGAGCAAGAAAATCTCTGGGAAGAAACCTGGGTCCCGACACATGCAAGGTGTGTGTTCCTACCAGAGTCATCTCCCTGGCCCCTCTAGTTACTTCTTTAAGAAAGTACAAGGATACCACGCTGTGCATGCCCTATACCACTTCCTAATGAATCACTTAAAAAAATACAGAAAGATAGCATCAGACTTCACAGGCTAAGTGCGCAATCCTATTGCTTCCTACACCCCTTCCGTTTGAGAAGCCCAGACAATCATCGGATCACCTGTGTGATCAATTAGTGAGAGATACTTATAAGGCTCATCTCCCCCTTTCCAGAAATCACTCCGCACATGCTGGGGATCTGCCTTCTTTAAGTGAAAAACAGAACACCCCCAGTTGCACCTGAGGCTGTTAGTGAACAGCCCCATCCTTCTAGTTCCCTCCAGTGGGGCAGGATCTCCCACTCCGAGAAGCTCCGAGAATTCCCTCATCTCAGACTAGCTAGTGCAGTCTAAAAGTCAGAGGAATGCTTTCCTCAACAGACCATAGGGCTATTGTAATAGGACCTAGCCTAGAAATTGCCCGATGACAGTGATCTGCTGGCCAAAGTATGGGGAAAGGACAGTCTTCCATGCCCTCTGCTGACTCCCTTTCCCCGGTCCCCCAACTCCCCCTGCTTACCAGCCAGAGGCTCTCCAAACTGCGACCATCTGGTTTTTTTGTGGAGACTTCATTAGATAAGCAGGAAGAGTTGGAGCACTGGCTATTGGTGAAGGAGTTCAGTCACCAGCTGGACCGGAAATTCCAACCCTTATTCGAAGGCACCACCTGCAACCATCTCCTAATCTTAGATGCTCCCCACAGGACCCCCTCACCGACACAGAGAAATGCTCGCCTCATGTAGGAAATCCCAAGATTTTAGGAGCTCCTGACTGGCAACAGAAACAAATACCAAACACTGTCTCTGACTATGAATCACTACAGTGATTCACATGACAAAAGCCCCCCAAAATCGGAGAGAAAAGGGACTTTCCTGGCCTCTGTCCAATAGCTAGGTGTGATCTCAGGTAATTAAGGAATTCCTCAGCAGAAGTTCCGGCTTGCTGGGAAGAAGGCTGGAGAAGGGAGTAACAACTGCCTGCTGTGAGAAGCTGCAGTTCCTCTCTGCAAGGGAGAAAAGGCATGCACAACAGCCTCGTGCCAAAGAGGCTTCTTTCCTTACACCTGCATGGACTGATTTGAGCAATGTGGCTTCCTAATATACTCATCCCTGGCATCCACAAGCGGTAACAAAGAGGACAGGCTTGAAAAGAGAATACAAGGAGTCTGGAGTGACAGTACAGTGGGTTGGATGCTTGCCTTGTATGCAGCCGACCTCGTTTCGATCCCCAGCATCCCAAATTGATCCCTCAAGAATGACAGAGTGATTCCTGAATGCAGAGGTAAGTCCTGAGCACCACTGGATATAATCCCCCAAACACAAATAACTGAATAAATAACATTAAAAAGAACACTAGTCTTCTAGGCACAGAAATGAAAAGTGCTAAAAGATTCTGGACTGGGTATTGCCAGTTCATTCTCTTCTAGAAATGCTATGGCTCTCTCTCTCTTTCTCTCTCTCTCTCTCTCTCTCTCTCTCTCTCCAACAGATTGTTTAGAGATTTTGAAAGGCAACTGACAATTGTTTACTGTCACTTTTGGTTTTGGAAACATGCTCTGGCCTCTTGTCTCTCAGCTCCTCTGCCTGCTAGAATGTCTAAATAAAGATTACACGGACAGTTGACTACCTACAAGGCAGGCCTTTGTTTTGGTTATACAGAACACTGATGAGCTTTTCACTCCCATTTAATGATCTGCTCAACTAGACTCTGCCTTTTAGATCCAAACTGGGAAGAGTGTCCATCACCCCTCTGCAGGAAAACTTGATGATGATTTTCCCTCACCTTTGCCCTCCAAAGTGCCCTTCCCCCTATCTGGCTAATGCATCTACTCTGAGATATACTATAATGAACTGTGATCACATAAAGAGAATATTTTTGTGAGTTCTGAGAATAGCTTTAGCCATTGACCTGAGCCGAAAAAGCAGGTTACAGAAACCTCTTGTTGACAGTCGGAGGGTCAGGAGACCAGGTGGTAAATGGGACTTGAGATGGAATCAAATAAAGTCATAAATGACCCCGAAAGTGTTCAGAAAATGGGGCAGAGTCAGGGAATAAGCACACACTGGCATTTGATATGAGAATCACACACCAGCATTTGATGCCAGAGCTACACTTCTCTCCAAAACAGTTGTGTATTTACCCTCTGCGGTGGCAGAGGCCTTCACTATACCTGTTGGCCAAGAGCTGGGACCTGGTTCCCGAGGGCGAGGTCAGGTAGATGGCCAGATCTCCCCTTCTGGGGTGAGTGATGGTGATGCGTACGACTACGTGTTCCAGGTAGTTCACATGGCGGTTGGGGTTACTGGAGCAGCCGGAAGCTTTGTAGATGGAGCGCACTGCACTGTTCGGACGAATTGTCCTGCAAAAGAAAGAGACAAGAGAGAAGTTTGAGTAGCCACATGGCTGGCTTGACTCTGGGGGTCTGTAGAGAGTATGTCACGTGAACTGGTACCCATGCTACTACCTGACAAAGCACGCCCCTGCTAATCCACATCACTGAAGAGGATGAGCATTGGTTAGATGCAAAAGAGTTAAGTGGGAGAAAGGGGCAATAAAGGTTTTATTAACATTAACACCAGCATTGCGACTGGTGTTCATTAAACCACATTCAAGTGTGAGCCACTAGTGGGACACACTAACTCCATTGTGTTCATCTTACATAAGCAGTGGATATCAGATTTCGGGTCACATTGGTTTGCCTATTTTTTTTTCCCCCTTTTTTGAGCCACACCTGGTCCTGCTCAGGGCTTACTACACCTGGCTCTGTGCTCTGATATCACCGCTGGTGGTGCCTGAGGGACCATAAGTGGTGGTGGGGACTGAACTCCAGTTAGCTTTGTGCAAGGCAAATGCCCTACCTACTGTTCTATCGAGCCAAACTTGAGAATACATTGGCATCACCTTGTGAAAGAGATGACTGCTGGGATGAATGGTCATGATTTGAATTTCTAGTCAGCTCAGCAGACAGGGATGTTGCTTGAACTAGGGAAGGACTGTGAAAAACTACCTCATAGCTAATAAGCTAGAGAGGGAATTGGAGAGAGAAACGTGGCTTTGGGTCCATCCTGGTTTCCTATTTCCTAGCTCTAGAATGCAAGGGAACCCTTTATCCTCACCTAAAATTTTTTTTCTTCCCTCTAGCTATGTCATGTCTCCACTGAACTCTGGGGTGTAGTGTCAGTTCAAGTTCTGGGATAATTCAAGTATCCATTTTAATTGCTTTGCATATACTATTCTGCCTAAACATCTTTTCCTTCTGTTTTTCATATGATGTGCTTTCTCTTGCTTCAAGGTCAAAGTTTAAATTTTATTCTCTGAGGGATGGGGATGTGATTCAGTAGAAAAGAGACCCAAGTTCAATCCCGGGCAATACATAAAAATTTCAAGAAAGAAGAAAGAAAAAATTACTGTCTATCATTGAATTGTAAAATAATATATGACCCTTTCTTTTTATTTTTTTTTTTACTTTTTCTATTTCCGGGTTTGCCGTGTTGGCTGCGTGCAAGGCAAATGCCTTACCGCTGTGCTATCACAGCCAACACTGGAGCGATAACACAGTGGTAGGGCGTTTGCCTCGCACACAGCCAACATAGCCGACCGAAGTTCGATTCCTCCGCCCCTCTCGGAGAGCCCGGCAAGCTACCGAGAGTATCTCGCCCGCACGGCAGAGCCTGGCAAGCTGCCCGTGACGTATTCGATATGCCAGACACAGTAACAACAAAGTCTCCAATGGAGACGTTACTGGGCCCGCTTGAGCAAATCGACGAACAACGATTTCTATTTCCAACATTTACTTATTACAATTTGTAATCATCTATGAATTACATAATTTGGGGGTTTATTCCCATTAGACTTTAAGCTCCACAAAATCAGAAGGCTTTTCTTATAGCCTTTTTTATCCCTAAGATATGATTTAGGGCTCAATATTCAGTACATGGAAGAAAAATCATTGGTAACTGAATTTGTGAATGAATTAACAAATATTCCAAATACTCCTTTGAATCCAATGTTCCTGTTTGTAAAATGGGAATAATATCCATGTTGTTATCAGTTTTCTTTTTGTTGTTGTTATTTGTTTGGGGACCACACCTAGCAGCACTCAGAACTTGCAACTGCTTTTGTAACTGGAGTCATTGTTCATGGTGCTCAGATAATATGTGGTCCTGGGGACTGACCCCAGGCCTCCAGCAAACTAAACTACATAATAAAACACACATGAAGTTACTTGTGTTCAGTATGGTTCAATAAATCCTGGCTGACTTTTACTCTTCAATTTTTCTTTCATTTTTTTTTTGCCAAAAACCAGCAGAAAGACCTCTCACCACTCCCCCCCCCCCACTATCCCCCAATAAACCAACCCCCAAAACTTTAGTTCTTTCATTTCTGCTTCCTAACAAATTGCCTTGGATGTTAAAATGGTTCAAATTATGTCACACACCAAAGTTTTCATTTTTTTTTCTGAAGGCTAAATACCTTTTTCTCTAAAAAGAATGACCCCAGCCAAATACCGGTTATGTACAATCCCAGAAATGAATCCTATCCTGATTTAGCACTATAAACAGTCAGTACAACTTCAGCACAGCTAAAATAGTAGAGGCCTGAGCGTCATATAAATTATGACTCTTTGGAGAATGGCAAGGTACAAGTTAAGTTTCAAGAATGTAAGGTTACAATTTTTTGAAGACTACCTCTACCATCAGAAAAACATATGGCAGAGTAGAAATCTGAAGAATACCTGTCTTTAAGATTTATCCCAAATTTCCATTTCAATCATGCTGTTCTTGTACAGATCCCTCGGTTCTACTTTGTAAAATGGGAGATATCCTGGTTTTAGACCAGAAACGACACTATACAAGCTTTTAGTGTCTAGGCACAGGGAGGGGCTGTCTTGAGTGCACACTGGCCTGCTCTCTGCCAAGCACTGCCATGCTTGCAGTGGACATTACTTGATTTGTCGGTCCGTGCTCTCCACACACACATGCTGCTGGGGAACGGTGGTCCACTTCTCTGCCTCCATCACCATGGCTTCCGCATCCATCAGTCCAAATCCATAGAGATGGCTCACTATGGAAGGCAAAAACTTGATCAGTTCCACTGTGGTTAGGAGCAATCTGTGTTAGACAAATGGACTTCAAATTTCCCTCCATAGAGAATCCAGACATATTTCTATAGAATCTTACTTTTTTTTTTTTAGTAATGATTCATGGATTTTTTTTTTCAGTGTTGAGGATCAAACCCAGGTCTCATGCATGCAAGACATAAGCTATAATCATTGAGTCATGCCCCCCCCCATCCTAGCATGATTAAAACAAAAAATAATAGGAAAATAGAAATTGTGATTTGATTATATAGTGCCACTTGTAACATGTCTATTATTTATGAACTGCTACTATATGGCAGACACTTGTTCATAGCTTTACGTTTTATTTACCCAATAACCATCAGCTGTGAGTGTTATTTTTACAATCAGTCCTGGATGAGAAAACTGAAGAAAAGGGAGAATTCAGTAGCAATTCAGTGGTTCAGCTGAATTTCAACACAACAGTTTTGCTCCAAGGGCTGACTGTTAACTAATTTCCAAGTGATGCCATCTTAATTTTATACAATAAAATAACAGGTTTAAAGGAAAGTGACAATGTATATAACTTCTGGCACAATAAGAACTTTAAATGTAAGAAAACCAATTTTATGACACAGCTAGTATTTAGGTTGAATATCCCAGAAGAAATAATTTTTTTCCTTTCCTCTAGTATTAAAAATTAATTAAACTTTGTACATGAAATATTAGGAGGCTCTCTCTATTTTTTAATCTTCAAATATTGGAGTCTTCTAGTTCTCAATGATCAATCCATTATCTAAAGGGGAATTTCATTTAAATGTATCAGAGACTTTAATTATATATAGGAATATTTTAATAATAATACAGCAAGATGTGCAGTTCTTTAATCCCAGTTAAGTGGCCAGAACGATAATTTAGGAGATAGTTTAGGAGATTTGCTTTTGGTTCAATACCTGGTATTACATATATAGGGAGTCCTGCACCCTGACCCTAGCACCCCCAAGAATGAACCCTGAGCACAGAGATAAGAGTAAGAAAGACCAAACACTACCAAGTATAGGACCAAGATAAAAAAATAAATTCAAGTACAATAAAATCCCATTGAAAAACTTAAAAACTTAAAATCTGTACTTTGTATTGTTTGTTTTTACAGTTAACACAGTCATACTTTACCAATTTTTTTCTAAAAACATTTTCATCATAAAAATAATAGTTTTTGCTGAAGTTTCTATATTCCTATGTGCCTATGAACTGAAGATACTTAGCTGAAAATTTGCCATGTTTTCTAATACAGTCACATTGTGCATTTAAATCCTTTGCCTGTATAAAGCTACACCTCTATAATTCCTGATCATACCTTGTCCTTTCTGCCTCATTTCCTTTGTTTATACTTAGTCTTTGCTCTGAAATTCACTCATTTCTCTTTCCGAAGTCCCATTCTACTCAGACAACTTCCTGATGACTTAGTCTATTTTCTCTTTCTTGAAATATATCTGATCAATGAAAGTCAACAGATATTTACTGATATTGAAATTCCCATAATTGGTGATATTTACAAGTCTATTCACTTGTCAACTCATCCTGCCTTCCACACACCCATCCATCTATCCATCCATTAATCCAATATTTTTTTTCACATTGAACTTGGCGCTATACCTTCTTGGTCATCCAGCAAATTGCTCATTAACTCTATGTCAGCATTTATCTTATCCTATAACTGAATGAGTACATTTACTGGATCTTATATTTATGTTTCATAAAGTTAGCACAGCTTTATATATATAAAGGAAAAATTATAGTACATAAAAAAAACTTGTGCCAGGACTTGGAAATACAGCTCTATGTCTATTACTTACAAATTACATAATTCTTGGCAAACAATATGAAATATATAATCTAAGGGCTGCAGATGTGGTTCAGTGACGGAGCTCATACCTTGAATGTATGTGGCCTAGGTTTAGTCCTTGGGACAGCAAAAGAATAAAAGCAAAAACCAAAAAAAAAAAAAACCCCAAAAGCATATTCCTGGGAGCTAGAGAGAAAAATACATCGGGCAGTATATACACCTTGCATAAAATTGACTCAGGTTCAGTCCTTGGCATCTCATGTTGTCCCCTGAGCCCTGCCAGGAATGATCCCTGAGTACAGAGGCAGGAACATCACTGGGTGTGACACCAAAGCTAAATAATTTTTTTTCTTTTTGGGTCATACCTGGTGATGCATAGGGGTTACTCCTGGCTTTGCACTCAGGAATTACTCCTGGCGGTGCTCAGGATAGGATGCTGGGAATCGAACCTGGGTCGGCCGCATGCAAGACAAATGCCCTACCCGCTATCCTATCACTCCAGCCCAAAGCTAAATAAATTTAAAAACAACAACAACAACAACAACAAAAGCAAGCATGTTCTTGCATTTGAAAAATCAAGATCTATCCTATAGTTGACTGAATATTCTTATGTTCCACATACAAAAATTTAAGTGAAGACTATATAAGACTATATAATTATTAGAATATCACATACTCAGACAAGACATACTGAATAAAATGAAATAAAACTACTTTTCCATGGTAAGGATAAACAGAAGAGTGCTTTTTTTTTTTTTTTTGGGAAGGCACACTGATGGTCCTCAGAGTGTGTTTTGGGTACATGGTGCCTGGGATGAAATCAGAGTTGGCCACACTGTAACCTTCTATACTATTTCTCCAGTCCCAAATGTGGTATTTTATAGATGTATGCATGTGTAACTTATATTATAAGTGAGTTTCACTCAAAAACATATATTCATTGTAAAATTATAAAATAAATCCGGAAAAGAAAAAAATGAAACTCAACAATTATCGCCATGAACTGCACACTGCTATTAATAGTTCTGTATAGTGAGTTTTAGTTGCACATTCTGTGAGGCAATTTCTTCTCTTTAGCTAAAAGAGAGACAATGTCCACAGGTGTCAGGAAAAATGTCAAGTCTGGGCTTAAGAAAGTCAAATTGTGGTGACATTTCAAAATATTTGAATTCCAGGGATAAATTAAAATTATTGCAAAAGATGCCATGCCAGGTGCTCTAGTTATGTCTAAGTTTCCAACTATCTCTTTGACACAAACTCTAGTATCAAGTGATTTTAATCTAGTACAATTCACCACTTTATCTCAGTTTGGGGAAATAAGATGAAGGAGTTGGTGGTATACAGTGGGTGGGGAAGAGGGGCAGTTGGTGTTCCAGAAAGGCAAAGGCCTGGCATAAACACAGGACTGGGGCTGCTTGGGCTTCTGTCCAGTTAAATTCATTCCTGTTCCCTCCACCATCCCCAGTAACTGCCAACCCAACGCTCTGGACATAAATTCACATACCTAGTCATCAAGTGCAACCAACACTTCAGTTCTGTTAAACAACCACTTGAGCTAAGTAGAAAAGCACTTTGAATCTTTATGAAGGTCATAAATCTGTTTCCTTTTTCAACTCAATTCTTACCCTGTTGAGGGATAATGACCATTCATGCAAGACTGGATTCATTCCTCCACACAGTGGATATAAAAAAATTGAGGCTGATGCAACCAGCTAAATTACATTAATAGGTAGATGTCAAAATAATATTAGCGAATGAGGGCATTAGTTTCCATCAGTGAAAGCCACTGGGTCAGTGTTAAGAGATTTTTTTAGTATTTTAAAATACCGGAAATCATGATTCTGATCAAAGTGGTCAGAAACAAATGCTGGTAGGTATGTATAGAACAATCACTCATTTTTGGGTAAGAAAGTTAAAGTTCAGTTTCCATGGAAAGCAGTGTGGAGATTTCTCAAAAAATTAAAAACATAACTACACTATGATCCAACAATTCCATTCCTAGCTATCTACCCCCCAAATTTACAAAAAAGTAATAAAAAATGTATGCACACCTTCATCACTGCAGCGCTATTTACAATAGCCAAGGTCTGGTATGTGGAGATCAAAAGCTGTGGCAGGTGGTACACTGTGGAACAGTGCTCGGTGGTAAGAAAAGATGACACTTTGCTTTTTGCAACGTGGTTGGAAGTGGAATGGGTCATGTGAGGCGAAGTAAGTCAGAGGAGAAAGAGAAATCTGGAAGATGTGGTGTGCAAAGAAACAAAGGGAATGTATCATACCTCCTAAGAACAAACCCTTAGAGTCTGATCACATAGTAAACTGAATTTACTACGGTATGGGGGTTGGGAGTGACCTGAAAGGAGTCAATTGATTATTAGGGTAGGTGTGGTATGGTAAATTTGTACAATGGAAGCACAAACATTTATGCCCTTATAAACAAAGGATATTGAAACAAAAATAAATTTTTAAAAGAATTAAAAGTTCCATTACAAATACACATACCTTTCCATTGCAAATGCCTTTAAAAGATGATAAAACTTTTTTTAATGTAATAGAACTCTAAAAAAAAACTCCCAAATAATTTTACATTTAAAAAATAAAAACTAAAAAAAAATAAAAACTATAAGGCTATTTGGATTGAAAATACTTAAATTAAGAAACATTAGGCTTTGGGGGAAATTACATACACGACTACCATTATGCCATGCAGCTAAGAAAAAACTACCTCTTATGGGTGGGGAATGCGTGCTAGCAATATATCAGGTTTACATATTTTGATTGGCAGTTGCTTATTTGGATTTCGGTATATGCTAATAGAAAAATAATTATACAGTGAATGTGTTGGGCAGATAAAGGTTCCTTCAAAAACTGGTATCACTATGGGGAAACAGTCATTAGTCAGGAAACACTAGCACATTTTTTCAGCTGTGATTGACATAGAATTTTTTTTTTGTATAATATAAACATTCACATTCTAAAACAGTCATACATGTAGAAGTACTATTTTTTCTTGGTGACCATTTGGGTTAAGTCTTTCTTGACCATCATGCCATTACTGTGATGAACCCATGGAGGAAAACTCCTCCCCAGGGCTGCAAAGGATCTGGTGTAAGTGAATTGTTTTCATAAGTATCTGTGAACTGAACAGACACCAAACTA